GTCTGACAAACGCTTTAACGCGTGCAGAGTGCTTGACAGTGCAGAACCAGGTTCATTGATTCTCTAAGGTACAGAAAGGAGCGTCCATCAGACCCAGGTCGCTAGAATGAAGATTGTCAGGTCGCTTAGGCAAGGGATCGCGCGAGATCGTGTTAACCAAGAGTCCCGTGCTGAGCTCATCCCATTCAGGTCAGAGCGACCAAAACCTCCAATGTGACTTAGTTTCCAAGGTTCGATCCTCAAACCTTAAAAACTAGGGGGCTTCTGTTATGCCTGGGAAAATAAAGGGCTGACGTGGGAAAGTCACGTGAAGGGTGACCTGCTCCCGTCAGAGCAACACGCACATGTCAGGCCTGCCAAATGATATGGAGCTCACACGCGTCCATTTCCCTGCGATAAATCGTGCGAAGTCAGCTTGGGAAGAGAGCAATGGGACATAAAGCCGGATTATATCCTGACAATCACACAAACCCATGGATTTAATGATGATTACACGCTTTAGTTTGATATAAAATGAAGAAGACCCCTTCATTAAGGGGATTCGGCCATTTTTACATTGAGAAACTCTCTCTCTCTCCTGTAAACACATTTACTTTTTCCAACTCTTCTGTAAGTCAGTCCGCTTTTGCGACCTGACCCACACTAATATCAATACAAATCAGTGGACGTAGGACTTGCTACCTTAGCATCCGAACCACTTAAAAAACTCCCTTTGCATTTATTTCACTTCATATATTCCTTACAGCATGTGTTTGTTGGTCAATCAGTATTACGCACGTGACAATTCGTTGGTGCCAAAATCCCAGCATCAACAAAAACATATCCAACTTTGAGCAAAACCACAACTCCAAATTTCACAATCACAACTGCAACACCGATAGTTACACACATCCGGTGATACTTTTGAGGTCGCCATTTGAGTTGAACTGTTGAATCTGTTGTCGCGAAAAATTAGGTTATCACAAGCTTGATTGGAAAAAAAGTGATAATGTGGACCCGTAGTTTATTGTTGTTATTTTAAAAGCATGATAGGAGGCCATAATAGGTCATAATCAAGATTATTTGATTTTGTCATATTATGACAATAATAGGCCATAAACAAGATTCTATAGAGCTACTCTTTTTACCTAAATTAATAAAATATTTATCACTGAGAAAAGTGCCAAATTATGTGGGAACTTGCATGTATAACAAAGAAGATTTGATTAAGTTTGAGGTAGGTTCGACTGCTTATCCAATAAGGTTTTGTTGAATAGGTAGATTATCCTCTCTTATAAATTAGGAGGCTTGAGCATGTACAAGTAAACTCATATGTTGGGTCATGCCTATGACTCTAATACCTCACCTACTAGTCAAACACCTAGCTCAAATGAGACTGGCTTTGATACCATGATAAAGTTTAAGGTGAGTTTGACTTCTCATCCAATAAGATCTTGTTGAATAAGAGAATTACACTCTCTTATAAATCAGTAGGTTTGAGTGTGTCCAGTCAATGTGGAATTCTAACAAGTTTGTTAGAGAATAAAACTTCAGAACACAAACGTAGTTCCATTAACATAAAACAGAAAACACACAAAAAATGTTTATTTAAACACAAGTGAAACACACTGCTAGTGCTAGTGCTACAACTGAAGAAACATAAGAATACAGAGAGACACACTGTTAGTGGTACGACTGAAGAAACATATTTGTGAAATTTTTATTACTATTTTAGATATATCTATTTGTACGATCAAGTTTTGTAAAAAAAAAAAAAAAAAAAAAAAAAAAAAAAAAATTTAAAAGAACGACAACTAACTTACACTTCTTTGAATACTAGGTCATCTATCAATAAAGAAGCAAGATCTCAATTAAGTTAATCAAATAATCTTGACTGGAAACTATGATAAAACACCGTTTGAAAAGCTTGATTGTTGCTATCACCGACATTTTGATTGTCTGGCAACCTTGTTCTCAATCACCAACTTCACTTTCAACTTTCTAACAAAATCAAATAGTCTTGATTGGATATGAAAGTGATTGGAAAGCACGCGAAGAAATTATTTGAAAAAATCTCTCACTGGAATCTTCCAATCACTTTTATTTGTTTCATTGCCTATATTATTAAGTACTAAGTTGTGTAGATCTTTTATTTATTAATTTCATCTTTTATTAAGATTTCAAGGGTATATGTTAACAGTTCTTTTATCATGGAATGTTCTTAAGATTCTACTTTGCTTCTCTTCACATTCTTCTTCACTAGAACCTAACAAATATTTATATAATCTACTTTTGCTTCAACATTTTGGATATTCTTTGAAAGGTCTAGCGAAGAATTGTTAAAATCCACACAAAACTTAGTACTTAACATTCTTCTTCGCTAGTACTTCTTCGCTAGTACTTAACCTTCTTCCATGGGATGTGGAACTATGTGCCGGCTTTTCGGTTTTATCTGGATAAGTAATTATAGGAAGAATATAATGCAAACCGATGGATCATTACAAATCTTTTAATACAAAACGCTGCAGTTGCTTCATGTATTACCAATAAATCAAATAATTACATCATTTATTATAATATCATTTTATTCCATAAAAAAAAAAAGAAAAAAGAAAAAAAATTATCTAATTTTATTGACACGATGATTAATGAAACTATAACGACAATGATTATTATGAAATAATGAACAATAACCGGTAATAAATAATGATGAAAGTTAGATGAAAGAAGAATTTTGATGTACTTGTTATATTATTGTGTTCTTATTTTGTCAGATGGTTTTATTATATCAAGAATAAATATGAAGTCAAGATATTTCGGAAAAATAGCATGACTTTTCTAATTATTCTTAGTAATCGTGCATTTTGTGTTTTCTAATGGAAAATTCCTTTGGATATTTTCAATAAGCTTAACGTTCATGTTCTTTGTGTAGTATCTCGTTTGATTTATCTACATATCAAATAGAGTAATTTTACGAGTTAATTTAGCCGATTTAACCCTTGCATTTAGTATAATTTTGATGCACCTATGACTATAATTGATTCTTCTCTTTCAGGATTGATTATTTTTCAGTTCTAGAACAAATGGATTTGTCAACCAAGAAGTGCATTTGAAAAGCTTGATTGGAAAAAAGTGACAATGTGGACCCTTAGTTGATTGTTGTTGTTTGAGAAGCATGAAGTGTTTTGTATCACAACATGCCTACGTAGGCATGCAAAGGTCAGCATATACAAAAGCGCATCTCTCTACGCCTATAAATAAGCGACTCATGCAAGCACAATCATCGCAAATCAAACTTCACATATACAGAAAGTTTAGTATTGCTTAGTTCTCTGGCTCTGGATATGGATATGGAAATTTTCTCTAAGTTTCTATCAGAAACTGATATTTCTGAAAGACTCAGCATCCCTGCACACGCTCTGCATCATTTTGAGATGTTTGAGGGACAGGATGTGGTGGTCAAGGACTGGAACGACGAAACATGGAAGTTTCGTTTCTCCACCCGAGCTAGAGGTCATAAAAGACCTATTTTTACTGGCCAGTGGATTTCATTTGTTCAAAAATATGGTCTTCAACCTTATGATTTACTTATCTTCAATAAGCTTGAAGATGACCAGTTCAGAATTCAGATGGTGAGAAAGACTGATCGGAAGTTATTTGGTCAGCAGTTAATGTGGATTCAAGTGGACAGAGCTTAGGATTAACTAGCTATATACATGCAGGTATTGTGTTGTTCCATTAATATTTAAGTTTGTATGTTTCTACGGTTGTACCATGAGCAGTGTGTCTCTTTGTGTTCTTATGTTTGTGCAGTTGTAGCACTATAGCAGTGTATTCCTTTGTGTTTCACTTGTGTTTGAATTAATAATTTATGTGTGTTAATGGAACTACGTTAGTGTTATGAAGTTTTATTCTCTGACAAACCTCTTTGTTATTCATGCAAGTGCCCAAATAATTTAACACTTCTCTCAGTGACAATCTTGTTTATGGTTATAATATGACAAAATCAAATAATGTTGATTGGATATGAAAGTCATGAGAATAAATCATTTGAAAAAAGTTTCTAGCCGGAATCTTCCAATCATTTTTATTTGGAATCTTCTCATGCTTTAACTAAAATAAGTAAAAGTACGCCCGTACCCCGGCCGTGTGCACTGTGCAGATGGATTTTGTTTGTACTTGAAAGTTGAAAGTGAAGTTGGTGATTGAGAACGAGGTTGCCGTACAAAATGTCGGCAATAGCAACAATCAAGCTTTTCAAGTGGTGTCTTGTCACGGTTTCCAGTCAAGATTATTTGATTAACTTAGCTGAGACATTGCTTTTTGTGAGCATGTGAAATGCATCTTAAATGCTTTTTGTGAAATAATATTTTATCTGTCATAATCAACCATTTATAAAATTGACTAAACGAAATTATATTTTCTTAAATGTGCCAAACAAAACATATCCAACTTTGAGCAAAACCACAACTCCAAATTTCACAATCACAACTGCAACACCGATAGTGACACACATCCGGTGATACTTTTGAGGTCGCCATTTGAGTTGAACTGTTGAATCTTTTGTCGCGAAAAGTTAGGTAATCACAAGCTTGATTGGAAAAAAAGTGATAACGTGGACCCGTAGTTGATTGTTGTTATTTTAAAACCTACATTCTTATACAAAACTAACTCAAGCAATTGGTGAACAGCCTGATCAACCAAGAAATCTTTTGCACAACCAGCATCTCCAACTAATTGATTTTCTGCGAGTATGACACAAAATAATCAACGATTATATTCAGAATAAATACCGGATTTTATTCAAAGAAAAAAAATATGAGGCTACCTTTGTAAAGACATTCATGGAGGAGTCCATCTATCCTCACGGTGAAAACAAGTGAGAAGGGGCAGATCTTTAAGTTGGCTGTTAAGATGCAGAGAGGATGAATAAAAATTCAAGGAGATTCCATGTAATTAAAGAAGAGTTTTAATTTGAATTGTCGTACCTTGGGCTGAAGGTTTATAAAATTGATTAGAATTCAATATATCCTCCTTTCACCTAAGCGGATCATGATTACGTTGGCTATGATGGGCCAATACTCTGCATTCTTTTTGCATTTTTCTTCCAGCAGAGGACATCCATCGATATATAAATCATAAATTGAAGAAGGCAACCCCTTTGGAAAGTATTTGAGCTTTGGACAACGAAGGAAATGTAGTCGTCCTAAGGACGTTAGGTTTTGAACCGAAGAGGACAGGCTTTCCAAATTCGGAAAATTTTCAATCTCCAGTGTAGCTAGAGAGATTGGAAGTTTAATTCCTATCTCTTCCTGTGGAAAGGACTCCACGTCATCACATCCTCCGCTAATTTTGAGCACAGAAAGAGAGGTGAGTCTGTGCAATCCCCACTCGAACAATGGCTTGCAGATGTTGGCATCTTTAACCTCGAGTGACCAAATGTTAGTGGGAAATCCATCCTCAGGAAAAGATACAATGCCTGGACATTTTTGTATTTTCAAATTCCGAAGAGAGGAGAGATTGCACATTCCATTTGGCAGGGCCGCCAGTCTCTCACACTCATTTATGTAAAGCGCTGACAGTTTGGTGGAGGGCAACCCTCCATCTGGAAATGGAATAAAACTTGGACAATCCATGATTTCAATCTCTTGAAGAGATGTGTTATCATTCACCCTTTCTGCTATTGACTCCAGCTTTGAGCATTGCCGAATGCTAAGGTATCCAAGAGCCGTAGGAAGATTACCTCTTGGAGAGAAGGAAACAAGATTCGGGCAATTATCAATCTCAATGCACTTAACTGAGCATGGCAACTCACCGTGTGACAACAAGGACGCGAGAGATTCACAGTCTTTAATATTCAGGTACTCTAGCAGAGAAGTGTTCTGACTGCTTCCACTGTTGATACTCTCCTCGAGCATTTCGGAAACTTCGTTGTCCACCAAAGTCTGTAAGTTATTGCAATATTTGATGTCCAACCGCTTGAGATTCGGAGGTAGCTGGACTCTTGCAATGTATTTCACAGACTCACAATCTGAAATTTTGAAACTTTCAAGAGATGTCATGCTGCTGTGCACCAATGCTTCAACTCCCCGTGCTTTGCAATTCTCAATTGTAATGGATCTCAGCCGAGAAGGCAAGCCAACTACTTCTGCAAAAGAAACAAGATTTGAGCAGTTTTTTATTGATATATCTGTAAGTGAACTGAGATTATGCAGCATTTGCGGTAGCTTTGCAAGGTTTTCACAATCCCTCAGTTCCAGATTATGAAGTCTGCAGGGAAACTTTTGTTGTAGTTGCTTTTCTTCTTCCTCTGCCACCATGGAAAGAACTTGGGAACAGCGCCCGGGAGCCGATCCATGAAGTGAGCTAATATCTTGATGTGATTCCATTCCTTTGAATGTTATGTCTTTGCAACCACAAATCCTCAATTCTTCTAGTTTTGGTACCCCTTGCACAAAACTCTCTCCCATGGTCACACGATTTGATACATCAATAAGTTTCACTGACTTCAATGAACCACCGTCTTCAATTTCCCACTCCACCTCCTTGCACCCATGATCGACATAGTACCGTCTTTGGTGACACTAAGAATTATGGAGAATCGAAGTATAGAGCAAATCTGTAGAAAGTTACAATGAAGGAATGAAGTTATCCAAATGGACTTCGACCATGAAATTTACAAGCAAGGTCAGTCCTTTTCCAGTTGCAAGGTTACTCCTTTTCCAGTTGCTTATCTTGTAAGCAAAGTACAGAGAATATATATTGTTTTTGGGGATTTGGGCAACCCTCCGAATGTTGTCAAAGCTTTTTATAGTATTAAGGAGTCCTATCATTTATATCTTTAACTTTACACTAATCGTAATGTACTCACCATGCATTACCCAATGGAATTTCAATTTGCATATATTGTTGATCAGGCTCATCTTTCAAACGAATTTAAGCCCAATTCATAGACCACACCAGTAATTGCAGGCCCAAAACAGTTTAAAAACCTCTCCCCATGTTTGTTTAACTTTTTCAACCATATTCTATTCTATCATCTTATCCTAAAAAGAAAAAACATATATGTTTTAATATTATTCAAAATCTAATCATATTCTACTTAATTTAAAATATTTAATAATTCTTTTTTCTCAATAAAAGTTTATAAATTAACAAAAACACTATCATCCACCCAAGCAACGGCTGCCTGCCAACAACCACCGCCAACTACCAGCTGCCACCACTACCACCGCCAATCACTGGCACCAAAACGACGCATGATCGACCAAATCTAGCCAATCTATTCGTTTTTTTACCACATCCACCTTGGATCTAGCAGGAAACAACCACATCTACAACAAAAAATCTGGCTATTTGGTTGTCAGCAATGGCCATATCTTGGCCATCATTTGACCATAATCTGGCTGAAAATAGTTAGATCTAGCCGATCGTACATCATTCCAATAACTTTCGACCACCGTCAGATGGCGATGGCCAACTGTCGACAATCGGTTGGGTGGGTGGAGGTGTTTTTGTTCATTTATAAACTTTTATTGTGGGTGAATGGTTTAGTTAAATTAACAAATGTAAAGGGTTAAAAATATATTTTTAGAAAATCTTTTCCAAGGATGTATCAAACATATTATTATAATCTTATCTTATTTAATTTAATCATATCATATTCTATTTAGGATATAATATTATTAAAAAAAGTGTACTAAACGAAGCTTGTGATTTTCCCTTTATATTCATTTCCATTGTACTCTCCACTTGATGTGGGCACGTCAATAAAATAAAAATTGTTGCGCTTAAAGTCCCACATCATCCTGGTAAGAGGATAGTTGAGTGTTTAAACAGGGGTTCATAGGTCTTAATAGATGTATTTTGGGCTCGAAACCCAGAAATAAAACGGTGTGTAACACATTATCAACATGAGCATAATATCATCCAAAATAATGGAAAAATAAATATAAAAAGTCTCATCATATTTAATTTTCCCCTCATTTTCTTTCACATCATTTTGTATAGAGAGATATTTCAAAGATTTTGTTATATGAATCATATATAAGCCTATTTGTTTGTTTAACCAGTCAAAAAGTGCTTGAACTGTGAGTTTAATCAGCGAATGGCTAACGACAATGCATAAGCCTCACTGTTTGTTACGTATTTCCCATTAAATACGAAAAAGTCTTGATAAAAAGGATTTACCTTGTGTTCATCCAATAATATCATATGTCATTTACCTATAATCACTATTATTATTTATTAATCATGAGTGATAAATTTTGCTGCATGAATATACAGTACCAATAATGTAATATACATACATAATCAGAAGCACAATACACAACCAAAAGGTGGGCAACTGGACCACAAAATTCTGAAATGGAAATACAGCCGCGCAAGTGCAGCACAGCCTATGATAAACAACTGATACTGATACAAAATACTAGATAAAAAACACGAAGTTAACAAGAAACCTCGTGTCCATGTCAAGAGAAATGTGAAGACTGAACACATAAGATGGCACAAAGATACCGAAGAAACCTACATATATAAACATTCTTATACAAAGCAATTGGTGAACAGCCTGAACAACTGAGAACTCTTTTGCACGACCAGCATCTCTAACTAATTGATTTTCTGCAAGTTTGACACAAAATGAAGTTACCTTTGTAAAGACATTCATGGAGGAGTCAATACTCTGCATTCTATCCTCACAGTGAAAACAAGTGAGAAGGCGCAGATCTTTGAAGTTGGCTGTTTAGATGCAGCGAGGATGAATAAAAATCCAAGGAGATTCCATGTAATTAAACAAGGATATTAAATTGAAATGGCGTACCTTGGGCTGAAGGTTTATAAAATTGATTAGAATTCAAGGAGATTCCGGGATTATGTTGGCTATGATGGGCCAATACCCTGCATTCTTTTTGCATTTTTCTTCCAGCAGAGGACATCCACCGATATACAGATAGTCGATTGAGGGGGGCAGCCCGTTTGGAAAGTATTTGAGCTTCGGACAACGAACGAAATGTAGTTCTGTTAAGGAGGTCAGGTTTTGAACCGATGAGGACAGGCTTTCCAGATTCGGAAAATTTTCAATTTCCAGTGTATCTAGAGAGGTTGGAAGTTTCATTCCTATCTCCTCCTGCGGAAAGGACTCCACGTCATCACATCCTCCACTAATTTTGAGCTCAGAAAGAGAGGTGAGTCTGTGCAATCCCCACTCGAACAATGGCTTGCAGATGTTGGCATCTTTAATCTCGAGTGACCAAATGTTAGTGGGAAATCCATCCTCAGGAAAAGATACAATGCCTGGACATTTTTGTATTGTCAAATTCCGAAGAGAGGTGAGATTGCACATTCCATTTGGCAGGGCCACCAGTTTCTCGCACTCATTTATGTAAAGCGTTGACAGTTTGGTGGAGGGCAACCCTCCATCTGGAAATTGAATAAAACTTGGACAATCCATTACTTTAAACTCTTGAAGATGGCTGAGTTTGTTCAAGCAATCGGGTAACAATTTTAGATTTTTACACCCATCGATACGAAATCTCTGAAGAGATGTGTTATCATTCACCGTTTCTGCTATTGACTCCAGCTTTGAGCATTGCCGAATGCTAAGGGATCCAAGAGCCGTAGGAAGATTACCTCTTGGAGAGAAGGAAAAAAGATTCGGGCAATTATCAATCTCAATGCGCTTAACTGAGCATGGCAACTCACCGTGTGACAACAAGCACGCGAGAGATTCACAGTCTCTAATATTCAGGTACTCTAGCAGAGAAGTGTTCTGACTGCTTCCACTGTTGATACTCTCCTCGAGCATTTCGGAAACTTCGTTGTCCACCAAAGTCTGTAAGTTATTGCAATATTTGATGTCCAACCGCTTCACATTCGGAGGTAGCTGGACTCTTGCAATGTATTTCACAGACTCACAATCTGAAATTTTGAAACTTTCAAGAGATGTCATGCTGCTGTGCACCAATGCTTCGACTCCCCGTGCTTTGCAATTCTCAATCGTAATGGATCTCAGCTGAGAAGGCAAGCCAACTACTTCTGCAAAAGAAACAAGATTTGAGCAGTTTTTTATTGATATATCTGTAAGTGAACTGAGATTATGCAGCGTTTGCGGTAGCTTTGCAAGGTTTTCACAATCCCTCAGTTCCAGATTATGAAGTCTGCAAGGCAACCTTTGTTGTAGTTGCTTTTCTTCTTCCTCTGCCACCGTGGAAAGAACTTGGGAACAGCGCTCAGGAGCCAATCCATGAAGTGAGCTAATATCTTGATGCGATTCCATTCCTTTGAAAGTTATGTCTTTGCAACCACGAATCCTCAGTTCTTCTAGTTTTGGTACCCCTTGCACAAAACTCTCTCCCATGGTCACACGATTTGATACATCAATAAGTTTCACTGACTTCAATGAACCACCGTCTTCAATTTCCCATCCATCCTCGTTGCACCCATAATTTCTAATTTGCGAGTACTGGAGAACTTGGAACTGACACCGACAGTTGCTCGCATTTTTCAATGACAAGCTTTTCCAATTTCGGAAGACGTTTTGGCAGTTCCCCTTCAGTTGAACAACGAACAATAAAAAGCTCTCGAGGCTAGAAACTCTTCAACTTCTTGACCAGGTCCATGAGGAATCCAGTTTTCCCATTCTTTCATGTCCCCAAAGTAGAGTCTCTCAAGTGATGGAAAAGGGGCCGAGCAACCATTTCCATTGAACTCTGGATCCACGCTCTTCACTCGAACCATTCCGTTGATACACGTTCCTTGAGAAGGGGAAGGTCCCAACAGAAGGCAAGGAAATACAATTGCCACAATTCTGCAATCTTAGACTCTTTAGTTTTTGTGAAAGAGGAATTTCCTATCCAAGTTGGAAATTTTGTACCCTCATAGCCAATGACACTGAGCTCTGTCAAGTTTTGGTGAGGTTGTAGCAACTCCAGCACTTGTCTTGAGATTCTACCCGCGCCGAAGTTTCGGTACTACAAGTCCATTCCAAAAGAAGCACATTCAGGTTCTGCTTACCATTCAAGTCTGCCTCCTTGGCGTCATTAGCATCGTGTACATTCTCAATCCGAAATGTGACCTCTCCTTTAGATGGGTTAAGGACTTCAATTCTTCTAACCCGAGCAAACGTCTTTGCCCAAACATACTTAGGAGTGTTTGGAGACTGGTTAATTTTCCAATCCTGCGAGGCATATCCTCCAATAAATTTACCTGAAAAGGTTGAGATGCCGCAGACTGACAAGGTTCCCATATCTGTACACAATGTCCTTAGAATAGCACAACCCTCTAGCAAAATGATTGTAAATTGTACAGACTACCAACTGATTCAGGCAAACTTCTAATATCAGTGTAAGACAGATCAAGGTACCGTAGATGCTTCAAATCTCCAATGTCATATGGTAGCTCTTCGACACAGTATTTATGCAAAGATAATCCCCTTAAACGCTGTGTTTCTGCAACATCTGATAAAAAAATTAAGTGACAGAAGGGAACCTAGCAGATTCTGATTTATAATAATAAAAGGAGCTTTACGGCTGCCGTCAGAGGAATCTTCTCGTTTCACCGGTGATGTAAGAAAGTTCGTAAATGTTTGACACCATTGGAGGCTTCAAGCTTTCCATGCCATCCAATGGGCCTCCAGTGTATGATAAATGACGAAGATTATCAGAAAACCAAATTGATTGTCACCCTCGTGCATATCCTCCATTCTCAAGTAGTTTTTCCAGCAGCCCATTGAGCAAGATCATGGATAGGTCATGCATCACACAATGATGCATTGGAGTCTGATTTTTCGAAAAATGATCTCGATTTACTCACGAAGTATTTGCAGCCCAAGTTTTCCAGTTTGTTCACACACTTTTTTCACTTTGCAAGAACCCCAGCCATCCATAATAAAACCATCTTCTGCTCTTGAAATTCATAACCCTTTGGGATAACGAGCAGTATGCGAAACATCGTTTTAATGTGGGGGAAATGATAGTACCTTACTTGAGAGCTGGCATAATGTCACCTTCCTCTTCCGATATATCCCATATTTTGCTATTTAGAATCTCTCCAATCATTGACATCATATTTACCACGTAATAAGCCACCAAGAGTTTTGGCTGCCAAAGGCAATCCATCACACTTTTTAACCATCTTCTCGCCATTTTTCTTTTAAGTCTTGATCATGCTCACTAAAATCTTTTTTTCCCAACAGTGTTGAGTAAAAACTTGCAAACAATCATGATCTGACAATTTTGCCAATGAGTACCCGCACCAGTTTTTATTATCGATGAAACACCTTCCATTCGAGTTGTAACAACAATCTTACTTCCTGGTGAATAGGCTTCAAATGGACTTATAGAACGGTCCAATCATTATAATTCTGCGTCCAAACATCATCCAAACAAGCAAAAACTTCTTACCAGAGAGTTCTCTTTTCGTTTGATTGAAGCCGGTTAGATCATTAAAATGGAGGCTAAAATATTGCTATCATCCTGCTCAGGAACAATGGGTTTAAAATTTTTTTTGTCACTTAGTTACTCAAATCGTCGGAAACATAAATCCATCTTGGAGATCAAAATGATTCACTATTCTGACATCATTGTAAACAAGTTGAGCGAGTGTGGTCTTGCCCAACCCTCCCTCCCAGTGATAGGAATAACAGAGACCACATCATCATCATCAATGATCACACCAGCAATAATTCAACTATTGCCTCCTCATCCTTTCCCTACCATACTTTGGCTTCATTAACCAAAGAGGTTGTGGCAGTCTTTCCCTGACTTTTTTTGACCTCCCCCCCGAATTCTCTCTCAACTCCAGTTTTTTTCAGTTACAGTAATTTGCAATCTGTATCGATCTCCTTTATTTTGGACCTCATCATTTTATTGAACTTAACAGATCGTGGACTGAAGCTGGTGAAGAAACTAGGAATGAGTTTTCGTACCATACTGGTGGTGGCTTGAGTTGAGGTTCAAGCAACAACTTCCTACGCAGAGCTTCATAGCAAACTCCCGGATGTCTTCCACGTCATAGGCCAAGTCCTGGAGTTCCCCCAGCCAGATTCTAACCAAACGACTCGTCTCATCTGCTTCTCCTCTGCGTCGTCAAGCACGGCATAAATCTTCACCAATGTCTTTTCCCACTTCTTGAGATCAGCCTGGTTTTCTCTTGGAGACCAAACTGCACAAATACCTCAGAAACCAACTTTTCTATCAGCATGTCAACAGTGACAGACAGAATTCCTCCCCAATGATCGACATAGTACTGCCTTTGGTGAGACTAAGAATTATGGAGAACCGGTATAGAGAAAATCTTGAGAAAGTTACAATGAAGGAAGGAAGTTGCCAAATGGACTTCGACCATGAAATTTACAAGCAGGTTACTCCTTTTCCAGTTGCTTATCTTGTAAGCAAAGTATAGAGATATTATTGCTTTTGGGGATTTGGGCACCCCTCCAATGTTGTCAAGGCTTTTATAGTATCAAGGAATCCTATCATTATGTTATGCCTGGAAAAGAGGGCTGACGCAAAGTCCTATCAGTATGGGTGGTCAGAACTTAAAAAAGTTCTACAACCGCTCAGATGTGGCCATGTCGCGTGATAACGTGAGCGGCATGCTCCTGCCAGTGTAGTAGGTGTATATCAGGTTGACAAATGGTTGGAAACGAACCACGTGTCCAATCCTGCACAAGTTGAGGAAATCACGCAGGTAGGTTAGCAATGGGATGCAGAGATGGATTTGCATGATATCTATCCCACTCGCATATTTAGTAATCATTACCCTGATTTTTCCCACTATAAATGAAGGACTTCTCTCTCATTTGTGGGATTGGCTAATTTCTCTCTAGAAAAGCTTACTCTCTCTCTCTCTCTCTCTCTCTCTCTCTTGTATTCTCAAAGCTAAAACTCAGCTCGCTAAACGTGACCCAACTATACTCATTAATACAATATCAGTGGACGTAGGATTCGGCTTGCGAGCATCCGAACCACTTCAAACGTTGTTCTTCTCTCTTTATTCAATTAAACATTTCTATAATCACGTGTGACTTCTGAGCCCGCTCAGCATTTTTCACATGCGAATAGTTGGTGTCAAAATCAAGCATCAACAGTTTGGCGCCAGAAGGAGGGCCTAATTTAGTATATGTTCTTCATCAGGAGAATCTCTGACTAGTCGGTCACATAACAGCAAGTGGCTCGCGGTTTTGAATCTGAGCGAACCACCTATGGCAATGAAGAAATCCCCCAGGTACAGGAGGACACTTCTCCCGAAGTGCCCTGAGCCGAGCAAAATGAAATGGGAGATATCCCTTCAAGCTCATGACTTGATCCAGCCATTATAAGTTACCTGGAGAGGTTCAACAATACTCTTCAAATGGTCAGCCAGAGGCTGGACCGATTGGATCGGGTCGTACCGCCCAAATCAAATGAGGTAGTACAACCACCAAAAACGCCTGCAAGTCACGCAAAAGCGCGGAAAAGGGCAAAAGCCCATATCGTGCGCACTGCAACGCGTCAAAGAAAGGGAAAGCAAGTGGCGCACAGCGAACCTAAAGGCCCCGAGGGACTGGCAAACACCGATTCCGCCCCGAGTAGAATACCCGTAGCATTGCGACTCGATGACATGTCACGACCCGAGCCGTCCCTTGCCACGTCGCATGAGCACTCCCACAAAAGTGCAAGGCGGGGAGATTCCTATAATCGCCAAAATGATGACTTTGATCGTCATCGTGCGGGATATTGCCACCGTCTACAGGTCGGTTCGTACCACCACGGAGGTCGGGAAAGTTCCTTAAACCATTCAATGTCATCATACGACTCTAGCCAGCGTGTATCGAGATTGGTCAAAACTACTGGCCAAGGCGGGGAGGAATCTGATCTATAGTCTTTCCTCAACCGTAACCGTGAGGGTCGAACCCATGTTACGGAAAGTGATCCGCCAATAGCTCCACTACCTCAGATTGAGGAGTTACAGTGAGCTCTGGATCAGCTAAAGGCTCAGTGAAATGAGCAAGAGCAGGTCACAGAGGCGTCTCCTTTTTCTTCGACAGTATTAACCGCTCCTCTCCCGTCGAGATTCAGAATGCCCGACATGAGAGCATTTGATGGGAATTCTGATCCGCATGATCATTTGTACGAGTTCAACGACCTCATGGAACTCCACCAAGTCTCTGACTTGGCAAAATGTCATTGCTTGGCTGTAACTCTTACCTCTCATGCCAAGCGATGGTTTAGGTCGCTCCCAACAAGATCGATCAGCTCGTGGCCCTAGATGAGCTCGACATTCCTGAGACACTTCTAAGCAAACAGGAAGTTCTCAATGCCCCTGAGCTACCTTAGCAACATAAGGCAAGAGAGGGATGAGCCCTTCTAATCTTATATTGACAAGTTCCACAAGGAGCTCTATAAAGTAGCTCACACTCCCGAAGAGTCCGTTTG